GCTATTTTATATTTAAAGGGATTTAACTGAACTGGAAGCATTCTTAGATATAATGATAGACATAATTATTACTATGATTCATCATTGATTACTGAATTAATAATCTTCAAAACAACTGATAATAATAGTACCTATGTACTTATATATGCTAATAAAGATTACTTACGTGCTTACATATTTGTAGGTATTATTATATAATCCAAAATTACCTGGCGCGAGGACAATTTTTATCAGTCAAAGTACATACTAAAACTATTGATATCAGGCTCGCCGTAAGCGGGCGTGCAAAGCGTGCACAGCACACAGGTGCACGATCATGAGGCGGCAAATCGAGCGACTCATTACCTACTATTTAAAATCTTTGTCCAGAGTAACCAGAACACTAATAAGAAATATCATCGCCGGGATAAAATCCCACTCGACGCAAGCAATATTAGTGTTATGACTATCTATCGTCATCAGTTAAAAATAAGACTAAGATGCAATACCAAGCTGGGAATCACCCGAAAATTGTTCACTGCCTGCTCAGTGGCGCCCCAAATTCTGTACAAACCTAAACCGATCGACTGAGCTCTAAAGATTTAGTCGATTACTATAAATGGTAGGACTTGTAAAATTCGGAGAATCATGCTACTCGCCGCACAATACCGGTTAAATGGCACCCTAAATCTGATACAAGAATTCCTCTAAGCTTACTTTTTGCCGCCCTATACCAGTTGGGGGCGTATAGCTAGCGGCGGGCCTGATTGATAGTTAAAATATTGTCTCTGTTATTTTTTTACTGTTAGTTATTATTACTACATGCGTGTGTATTGTGTATTATTACACTTACTTTTCTCAACCAGAGATCAAAAACGAGCACAAACTTGGCAATATCTATAGTATTTACATTCACAAATTGTTTAACACTAAGAAAGTGCATCGTCAAAGTTTCATGATTATAAAAAATTCGGTGTCCAAAAGTGGTTACTCTTCAGAAAATTTTCTCATGGTCTCCTCAACATAGCAAAGAATTTACAGACATAACTCAATCAAATTGCAAAGCTCCGTGGTCTCCTAACACTTTGCACATAAATTGAATTTAAAACTCCCAGAAGAAACTTCTTTTAAGATTCAACGTAGTTGGGATATATCCAATCTTACAAAAGCTAAGGCAATTTCGCGGTAACGTTGTGGATAAACCACTTTCATAATACATTCGAGGCATGTGTACTGTGGAGTGTAGGGTACGATGTGCACGATGCATGACGATACGTGACGTCAGGCAAGCGTTGCCACCGATATGGGTCAAACTAAACTGTTTTGACGTATTACAAATCAATACTTCCTTTTCGAAAAGTCTTTACGTAATTTGTAGTAGATACGAATCTATTCGTCAATGACTGAATTTGAATTGTTATTTTAGTGATTAACATATTTTTACGCATTTATTGTCCAAAAATTTTTGCCATAAAGTTTTCAGTTTATAGGCCACTGCTGAAAACTTTCACAAACCCAATACCTAAAATGCTCTGCTAGCAGGAAATCGGACTCGGGCCCCTTGTATTTTCGACCTAAATACGCAGCAGGTGTAAAGCATGCAGCTAAATGAATTAACACTCGGTCTGCTAATTTTAATGGTTCACACAGCGTTCCAAGGTACTTAGGGAGGACTCTTAGAGAAAATTGGCTCCCTCCTAATTGGCTTATTGTAAACCCCCTAACAGAGCATCAAAGTGGCTCCCATGCCGCGTCCGGAACTGGCTGTACATGCTTACTATGTTAATTATGATTATTTATGGATTTCTAAACGGATTAAGAACTGAAACTGCAACCAAGTGCATTAATAATCCTCCACGCCGCTTTTGGGTACGGTGACCGTTTTATGACTACTGTCGTCTGTCATGGGCTGTCATGTGGCTGAAAAATCCACTTTTATTTATGAATAATCTTCCACAGAGTGAACACGTGAGAACATCATTAACAAATTTATTAAAAAAAAAGTTATAATTAATTCCCTGGTGGTCAGGCTTTTATTTCATAACGCAATGCATTACATGCTTATACCTACTCATTCAGAACCCTATTTAAAAATATTTATCATCTTTTCAAAAAATAATAATATGGCATGAACTTTATACGCAAGCATACCTACCACTTATTCCCATTTCCGTGTAAAAGTATCTCGCAAGGAGATAGCTCAGTTTAAAAAGGAAATGAGGTTTAATGTAGACTTACGTCAAAGGCATGGAGGCAAAGGCGATATTACAGCCACTAATGAAATGAGATCAGTTCTTCTACGCCATCTTTAATATAAAAATAACTTCATATAAAAACCTTCCCCAAGATTAATTTACAAAATGCATGCAATATTTCATATTTTTAAAGGAAACTCCTCTGTTTACTCGCTAACTTAATTTCGTCAGCCATTGAAAACACTTACTTTTAAAAGACAAGACAAAGGCGGAATTACTTCATTCCGGAGTCTCACTTCCGTTTCCAGATAAATAATTTACTGAAGCCCTTTTATTTTGGTCTTTTAATTGAAATTCGTGATTCAAATTAGGAACGTCACAATTTTTGTGTTAATTTAAAGTCGGGTCCATTTTCGGTAGGGTAAGTTTGAAGACGGATCTACTTAAAATGTTTTGCGAATAGTAGAATTCCTGATCTTCTTAAATTGTTTACTAATTAATAAATAAACAGGTTTAAAACTCGTGGCTTAGTAAATAAAATTTTCAAACCTTTAATTCCCTAAAAGGTTTAGGTAGAACTGTTACTTTTAGGACCCTCTCTATTCACGAGTTGTGTTAAAACTCACATGTAATAGCGGCAAACATAACCAGAAAGTATATTATGTAATATCAATATATATACTCGGAATTTTAATTCGATTCCAGATTTGACAATTTCAGTGTAACAACGCTAAGACAAGTACTAAATAGTGACGTTGCGAAATTATTCGATATGGAAATGCAATATTTCTGGATCGATTCTTCTCGTTTATAATTTTACTCTCGTAAACTAAGTATATCAGGAAATTAAATATTTCTGAACCGATAATTTAGTTTTGACGATTAATTAACGATCTGAGACTTTTCTTTTATAATTGTGTGTGAAATAAATAAAAAAATGTAATCATGAAGGAACATGACAAATAAAACAGATAGATGTATTATGGTAATAAGTTATTTTATAAATTGTCGCCGTCATCGCTATCGCTATCCTGTCACTTTCTGTAACATTTATTATAAAACACACACACTGATTGTTTATCGATTTTTGTGTTCATCACTACACTATTATATGTGGTATCATTATTTCACAAAATGACAGTAGCTATTGTCAAATCTGGAATCTAATTAAAATTCTGACTATAGTAAAAATACTCCTATATACGCTCACTACTCATAATTAGCCTTAAAAAAGGATAGAACTATTACTTATAAAGTTTCTGTGGTAGCAAAATGAGTTTTCGAAACTAGCGTGACCTCCTCTATTTGAATTTGATATGTTATTGGGTTTCGGCACCTATACTTTTTATCTATTTATACAAGCAAGATCGTTTCTTTCGTCTTCAGAACTGGTTTCTGCGAGTATCTCTTGTAACAGGGACATGCTGTTCAGAGTTTCAGAGGTTTGGCAATTTGACAGATGCATTTTTGACACTTTTAACAGTAACCAGAGAAAAGTGAGCGGTTACAGTTATAGTTGAAAGCTGTTGAAAGTTATGACGTCATTTAACAATTTGTCAATTGGTGCAACGTCTGTTTTTTTTCCTCCTTTGGCAACGGAGTCTCCAAAATGGTGTTGTCGACTATACTGCCAGTGTCGAGTGGTGACGGCATCTTTTTGAACCGATACTTTAACAGAAATTTTGACGTTTGTCATTGTTAAAGTAAGTTGGGACAACCCAGCCAATGTACCAGTTCGTGTTAAAATAATGGCATAACAATAATTTGTTTACCAACTCTAACCTAAGTAATGCGAACAAATCGATATTATTAAATTGCGATGTTACGTTACGAAAACATTACGATAACTGTTAAATGCTTATCTATAAAATATGTATTTGTTTATACTTTTATGTTATACTGTTATAAACCATAATTATGAATATGTAAAGTTTAAACTCATTTGGGACTTAGATAGATTTAGTAGGCTCATCCCCTATTACAGCAAAACCTATTCCGACTAAACTAGTGCATTATAAGTACACGTCTGCGTAACTTTCCGCGTCACAAGTACGGTGTAACGTACAGATGTGTGCCAATATCTCAGAAAATTACAAAATAAAACAGAATAGTTAACAATTAATTGTCGCGTTAATATAAATATCTAACCTAGGTCTCAGTATCTATCTGGCAATTCATTATACAATCATTATACAGTGATTGCAAGACACTTGAATAAATTTTGGCTTGGTTATGGCATGATGGTGCGGTGACTGAGCAACCGGCTGCCGTGCAATGTGTCGCGGGTTCGATTACCGCACGGAACAACACTTTGTGTGATCCACAAATTGTTGTATGTGTGTTTGTAAACGCACCGGAGAAAACCATAGTGTGGGGCAACGACGCGGAGGACTTAACGGGTTACCGGGGCTCCGGCTTGAAGTGCAGGAGTATGAACGGGGTGGTTTTTAGACAGTAAGAGTCTGATATTCCCTCTCGCCTCTCCCTGGCGAGAAAAGTCATTGAGTGATTTCCCACCATCAAAAAAAAAGAATAGTGCAACGTCTAAAAAAAAAACAAAAAATATCAACCTATAGGCAGATGGGTTTGAATTATTTATTTATAAAATGTCAAATGACAAAAATAGAAACAACTTTACCAATATGTCCACTCATTACTCATTATTTTGTCAGTCGATTTTTTTACCTATTGTATACAATTCGTTTCTGATTAGAACGAAAGATAATTAACATTATCATGGCTCAACTTTCTTGATATCTATTTTGTTCCCCGCTCTTGCGTAGATTAAATATAAATATGTTTATAATTACAAATGTCCAGTTTCAAACGCACAGTTCGACGCACGCGCGTGAAACATAGACTTTATAAAATAATAATAATAAGTAAATGCTTTCTATTTTTCAAAACGAAGTCATTTTTTTATCTGCATAATACTTGATAGTGGTCGCACAAAGAATATTTACACGTTGTCAGCGAGTGATATGATAATTTAAATAAATCCAAGTGTTTCAAATCTAATCTCTTCCTAATTCTAAATAAAATATTGATAGTAAAAATATTTAAATTGATAGAAAACATTTGCTGATGCAAAAGTGGTGTGTTTTCGATGAAATGTCATTGATTTGAATCTTTATCGAGGTGTGAAAGGTTAGTACGATAGGCAACAATGTAACAATTGTATTTTAAGAAAATAGGCTAAACAATACTACTGTTACGTTAGTGTAAAAATTGATACGATTTTAGCGTGTTGTGTTGTCTTGTGTTGCTAATTGGATGTACGGAAAAGTAGTGTTATCACAGTGATAGCTCGGTGATACTAAATTGTTATCTGGTGGTCCAAAAGGGATAATACAACTATATGGTATAACTAACGTATGTATAAAAAAACGTAACTACCATTCATTATGCATATAAAAATATCCATATTAAGTACATTTAAATGTAATGTTTCGAGACAAAAACTAAAAAAGAAACTAAATGGTTCTCGCTTATAAACGTATCAATCAATTGAGCAACTAAAATAAAACCATTTTTATAAATTGATTTCATTTCATAGTATTTTTTTATTTATCTAGTTAATTAACAAAAAAATAATTTACTATTGGAAGAATAAAAATAAGATATCGCATCCCACTACCTCGTAGAAAATAAGTAGAAAACTATCATTTTATTACTTAAATGTTTCGAATTTAGTTCTTAGATAATAGCCCTATTAGTTATAAAATGAGTACTTTAATTAATCCCGGATATCAAGGTCTTGTCTCTAGACGAAAAGGTCATCGGATAAAGGAGTATTGTATCATAAAATACTACTTCAAGTATAATAATACCATCCTTCTGATCGAATAATAATAGTTGATAATATTTTAGCTTAGTTATTTAGTATGTTTTTCTGCTTACTCACGTAATTATTAGACGAATTATTTAAACTGTCAAACACCAAGCGGTCACCGGTGACCGCAACCTATTGTTCTATAATTGTGTCTATAATGACGGTACTCGACGAGTTAAAGGAAAAAGCTGCTTGTGAATATAAGCCTCTAGCATGGCTTGAAACTAATCGAGTTCCTCGTCAAATAATTACGTGAGTATGCTGAAAAACATAATAATTAATTTAGTATGTCTTACGAAAGTTATTACATAAATATTTTAGCACAAAAAATGGAAATATTCGGAATAAAATTAGAATGATATGGTATGACTATAATTTGAAATCAATTTTTAATATTATGTATTGTTATATATTTCCAATAGATATAAAATGCAATAATTATTTATCGTGTGAATTAAACAAGCTAGTCAGAAATACTCCTATATTTTTCAAAAACAAAAGACGACCATAAATAGGTTTCCCTATTGAAAGTGGCCAGCTTGCCACAGATAACATAAACATATATAACAATTATGTACTTTAATTTAGATTTATTTTATATATGTAATTGTACTTATACCATGTTAATCAATAAATAATAAATAAATATTTGAATAATGCTTGTAACAAACTAACACTGTTTAACTAATATATTTTTATCGTTTGTTTTTGACAGACCAGTTGAAAATGCAAGTTTGTAAAGATTTACCTGTAATTGTTATGGATGCTTGTTATAATACTCTTACAAAGAAACTTGATGAAATTTGGAACAGAGATGGATTTAACGTCACAGCTTTTAATTACATACCCATGTAACACCCACTTTTTAAATATTACTTAAGTTAAGAGTCTAACGTAACAGGGGATAGACGTATTGTAATAATTGTAAAGGGCAATAAGCAATAGTAAACCACATTTATACGGCGCATTAAACTGTCAAATACCAAGCGGTCACCGGTGACCGCAACCTATTGTTCTATAATTGTGTCTACAAAACCGGTACTCGACGAGTTAATCCCGTTAACACTGGCAGAATGTAGGTAAACATAAACCATTTGACACCTGTACAATATAGCTTATGTTAGCGTCAAGTACAAATGTACTCAGCCTTTGACTACCACCGTCTGTTGCACTAACTCAACAAGATGCAACAATATATTTATACCCTCAACTCAACTATTGACATTGAAGTAACAGGTTAAATAAACATTTAACGAATCCTAAATAAAAGTAGGTATCCTACTATCCTACTAATATTATGAATGCGAAAGTTTGTAAGATTGTGTGTGTGTGTGTGTTTGTGTGTGTGTGTGTGTGTGTTTTTTTTTATTACTCTTTCACGCAAAAACGGCTGAAGATATTTTTTTAAGGGGGGAAATCACCGAATTACTGCTCCAGCCTGGGTGAGGCGGGAGGAAGTGTCACCACTGGAAGATGCTAGTTATTTTATATGCATAATAACAATAATCGCTTACTATCAGGTGATGAACCTGCTCGTTTGCCATCTATTCTATAAAAAAATACAAACGTAATAAGAAAAAATCATAAGCATTTAATATTTATCTTCTTTCAAAAGTTACTCATCTTGGGTCTATCATTAATTTAATTCGTCGCAAATTAACAAACTTAATGAACGAGTAATTCCATAAAGTGTAACTTTACAATAAATTAAACATATATATGAATAATATTTTTACAACTTCAAGGAAATATTTAATAAAGTAAACAAAGGATAAACCCTGACAATTCTACGCTCCAATATGGCAGTGGCATACAATAATATGAAAGTAGTTCGGCTTGCAATCCTTTATATGAATAAGATCAAAATAACTTCAACCCATACGTACTAGGTGCGTATTATCGAAATGACCGATAAGTTGTGTGACACGTAAGTAATTTTTAATCCTTTAAACAAATCAGACCATAAAGGAAATTTATGTACCTACAATACATACCTAGCATAACATTCAATACTGATATACAAATTAATATTGCCAACGTACAGTCACAATACTTTATTGTTATAATTACCTCTTACCAAGGGTTGGTCACCCAAGCCAGACAAAACAAGTCTTAAGTACACACGCACTCAACTTGTACCCACAATTATCTTATCACAAGCGGTCACTAACGAACTTTGATTTACATATTTGTAATAGAGAATTTATAGGGAGTACAATCGGTACATTTCAACATATCGTGGGACACAGGACGTGTTTGTGTGTTGTAATATTTAATCTAATTGTTTGTGCCACGAGTATATTAACTGTCGTACTATTTATTATAGCCACTTCTTATAATTATCAAAGGATCGTACGGTAGTCCAATATTTTTTTTCTTTTATTATTGTTTTTTTTATATTTTTTTTTTGTTGTAAATTAATTCTGCTGACGCGAAAGTACCTTCAGAACTTCTTTGTTCATTTATAGATATAAGTTTAAGTATGTAAGTGAGAACATAAATAGAAACTGAATATTTGTGTTTGTTATATATCCTTAGTTTAAAGCTAAGAATGCACTAGGGGACAAATGTCACGCGACAATGTCGCCAACGACGTTGGGTGAAGTAGTGCGACGTTGCCGGACTGTGGTCGTCGTCTCTGGCAACATCAACGTCGCCGTGGACATAAGTTACGCATTGTCGCCGTATATATGACATGTCGCCGATACATGTTGTGAGACATTTGGCCTTTAGTGTATCCTTGCCTTAATTGTCTGGTTTTACTAACATTACTCTTTATTTCAGAATAAACAGTCACAATGACAGAAAACGGTGTTCGAAATCGTTTAAAAAACGGGAAGAAGAGTGAAGTGTCGAGTGTTACTAACGGAGATGTGATCAAAGAAAATGAGTTCAAAGTTCGAGAGTCTCCTTTGACGGAGCTGATACAGTCCTCCTTGCACATAAGGGCCATATACAATATATTTGTGGTCATACTCCTCGTGTTGTTTTGCGACACCGTCATATACGACCTCGTCGAGAGAGGAAAGCAAGTAAACATTACCTATTTATATTTAAGGTCATCGCACACCTAACAAGCACGGCTCCGGCGCAGCTCCAATCTAGCAATTAACTTGTTATTTAAATAATTATGAACCGTAACCGCGTCTCGACGCGGGCGCCGACGGCTTGCTTACAACCCCTTATAGTTTCCAAAGCAAAAAACGCTGTACTGGAGCCGTGCTTAAGCCGTGCCGGAGCCGTGCTCGTTAAGTGTACGTTGACCTTTATAATCATTTATTTTAATCTGTGAGTAACGAACTTTTTGTGAAGAACTAGTTGATCAGTAGGTACAATGATAGTTCATTAGTGGCAATAAGGTGTGATTTGATGTGATCTTTGCCATTTGTCCTTTTGGTCTTTGATAATAATTGGATAGGTTATTGTGATCTTGTGGAGGAGCTACTATTTTTAATTTAACACCATGATAAAAACCAATGTTATAGTTCTTAAAACTATAGACTTGATACCTCTGAGCCTAAATACATTGAGACTCATGGAAATGTCTTAGGACCCATTTTTCAATCATCAATTAATTATTAACTGTAGAATAAAGCTGACATTTTACAGTTTTTAGTATAGAAGAATTGTCAAATATTTAAAGATAGTCAGTTACAATTTATCTGGCGTTCGAAAAACCGGCGCTTATATTAATTTCTACAATATTATTTTTCTCACATAAAATAACTTTATTATCACTTTCGACTAACCCTCATAGACTATCATCACAATATAAACGTAAGTACAGTGAACCTAAAAATAATTCATGAAGTTTGAAAAGTGTTGTTTGAATAGAAATTATTGCTAAGGGTGTTGTTAAAAGTTTAGAACTTCTGACTAGCGTCAATGGTATTTAATAACAAGAATCGATATATTCATCGACTTTTGTTAGTGGCTGTAATTGATACGAATATAAAAAATATTCTCACAGTACCTACCTAATAATGAAACAAACTTCATAGAATTCCAAAGTTCTACAGAAAGCTGCGTAAACGATACGGAAGTTATTAAACAAGTCACATTATGGAAAAAGAAACTAAGTTTGTCATATCTTCCACTGTATGGACACATATCCAGTTAAATGTATTTGTTTTCGTATTCCACACACATTCGACGTTGTTTCCGAAAGTCGTAAGAGACGTCGCAGTGCATATGTCGCCATTCGCCACGGAATTCGCAAGCACTCCCTGTAATTAACTCCGGGATGTTACTCGTTTAAATTCCAGATGCCAGATTACAGACTTATCTCCCAGCTTGGCAGAGACTAAATACTGCAATTTTCACTCGCGTTGCTTTAATTATGCAAAATATTTCGTGCTACGAAAAAATGTGGAACAAGAAACGTAGTACTTTTTGTTACCGTCGACGCCAAATTACGCCATTTTTTACAGCGTTAACATGCAAAAGTTTCGTTTGTACTTCATAATAATGTAAACTTGGGCATATTTTGATGGACTCGAATGTTTTTGCGTAATGCTGTTCAAAATTCACTTAATTGAGCCTTTTTTACAGGATAAATATAGGACTGGGAGTTATTGCAGCGGGATTTGGTGACATCAGGAGAGGAATGAAGTTATGGCTGTACGACTTCTGTATCGCTATGGCTTTTTACCCACTGCTCGTAGCATATTCTTGGGCTGGAAAAGTTTCCAGAAAATATCCAGGTATGCTTTTCTGATTAATTTACTAACTTGATTTCTTCAGTACTTTGTTTACTTGGATTCGTACGTACATACCTAATAAATAAAACAACTTTTTCTTTTGACTAATATATTTGATAACACTTTGTAAAAATTTAGACATTATCTCGTTAGTTGAATGTACTGGATATACTCGTACCTCACAACAAAGAACTTGATAAACAACAGCTGGTCAAGTTCAGTCTCGAGTTTGTACAATGTTTACACGAAAAGTGATTCAAAATAGTTTCCGTTTGTTATCATTATATTGTATAAAATATTACAACCAATTTTTGCACTGCGGTTAACAAATGTTTGTTACTGAAACGATATTTTACATTCCCATCAAACAAATCATGGAACCTTAGCAACATTCATATTTCCATTTACTGTTTACTGATGTTATAATTGAGTAAATTCATAATTTATTAACGAGATCTTTGTTCAACAAAATCTTACGGCAAATGAAAACGTCATAAGCAGAAATAACCATTCTAATGAATGTACGAGGCTTAAAGAAAATCCTATTTATTAGGGATACCACTTTTCTTCCATCTTTAGCTGATTATCTCTGTGACAAAATAAGCTGACATTAGGAAGATAAATGCAGCTATTTATATTATTTAAAGCCGTGGACAGAATAGCAGCAAGTGGCCCCGTGTCCTCACAGCAAGTGGAAGTCTTTTGTTGCAAGCGGCAGGCGGCCGGAGACCGACCCGCTCTCGCGGCGCCCTCCAATTAGTCACTTGGGTGGCCATAACCGCGCACCCGGAATGACTAGTTTTTATATTGTGCACTTTTCACACTGCTTTGCTTCACATTTTTGTAACAAATTGTATAATTCCATTTCCCTATACATTACGTTTCGTTTAAAAGGCATTTCCGCTAAATTGGTTTGGGAGATAAAGCCCCTGCACGCTACGGTCTCGGTAACTTTACTTGTAATCAAGTTAGCAAGCAATGTTGTCGAGTGGCTGGTGTTGTTTTCACTATTATGCCTCAAGTATTTCTATTAAATAAGAAATGAACAATTTACAATTCATTTTGGGAAGCTCTCCTATGTTTCAACCTTCGGAACATCACTTAATGAGTGTAACAGCTGTAACATCGAAATTAAAAGATCGAAGTGTACCTACTTAGCTGTACGACTGTGTACGTTCAAGGACTATATTATCAAAGAACCCTCATCTCAATAATAGCAAGCATCTGCGATAAAATCTCAAAGGTCCCGGCGAAAGTACCTCAGATACAGATATTAAAAACGTTCTATTCTAAAAGCCGTTCGCTTTGAATGGGGTCCTTTCTCATTATATTGTATTTAACAAGGAACATCTGATGTCTACGTCTTAGGTTCCTGGTACACGCACTCTAATAATAAGTAATATCGAGATGGAAGTACGCTTTTCGGCCTTCTAATTCTCTTACGCATTTGCAGAATACTTGAATTTTCGCGTGATATTCATAAAAGGCCTAATTTGGAAAGAATGTTATTACTTTCGTCTAGAATTGTTCAGAAATCTAACATAACCTAGTTACTTAATTGAAGTATTCCTACACCATGTTTCACAATTTGATTTACGAGTTACCATTAGCTATTTACACGCTCCTTGGTTTTATGTTTCGATACAAATCGAATCGTTCCGTTGCAATTTCTCTAGTGAATACATGGCTTAAGTTGGTGCCCTCCAATTTGCCGCATCGCAGATTCTTATACAGAACCAAATATCTAGCTGTGAGGCCGCGACCGGCCCCCGCCACCTCGCTGTATCGAACTACGCCCAATAAGGCCTAGTTATGAATACATTTCCTATGTTCCTGAATGGTAACTAGATCTAGTCAATAAAGAGAACATGTTAGGTTTTATTGGTAAGTATAAAGCAGCTGCATGTTAGCCAAGTTCAGATTCCACATAAACAATTATTGTTTTATTTCTGATTAGGTCTTGGATTTTAATTGAATTGATTTAATACTCAGTTGGAGATCAACACTAAATTCACTTACTTTTGCATTATGTGACATTACTGATGGTGTATGGAAAATATAATTTAATCAAACTTTTCGTTGAATATCAGAATTCGATTTGTAGTATAAAAAAATGGAAGTTTTATGAATACTTTTGCATTATTGTTATTTATTACTCTTTAAATTATATAGTTAATAACGCGAGTGACGCCATGTGCTTATACTAGACCTAAACAACGAGTAAACTGGGAGAGCAAATGTTTCGAAATATTGATTCAACGACAAACTTTAATAATATTTCACCAAGTTTTAATTAGGTACCTAGTCCTTTGTTGGTTTGAACCGATGAGAAAACAATTTTAAAATCATTTCTAATTTAAACTTTTTATCGGGCTCTCATCTGGGTTTAATCACACGAATTATGTTCAAAGTTCGATATAGCTTGATACTGTCACTACTTGAAATTAAAGGATCTTCATTAGAGTGTAGTTCCCTGGGGCTTTTACTAGCTGCTCCGTGACGTATCTGGTTACTCAAAACATTTTTTATGATCCTAAGTCTGATGTTGATGTGAGAGTGTTGAAATGTTGGCAGACGAATCCACAAGTCCCAAGCCCATGGCGCAGAGTAAAATTATAACGAATAAAAATCTTAATATTACATCATAAATAATTTGTTACAGTATTACGTCCAACGGTGATGATGCTGGGGATAGTCGGTGTGATTGCCGTGGAGGTGGCCGCCGCTATAGTGCCCGTCGTGGAGCTCGGCAGGAAGCATCTGGAGCTCGGCTCTTCTATCACTGTCACCTGCGAAATGGTAAGTACCTGCCATCCATCTTATTATAATTTTATTACAACAATTAAACTGTCAAACACCAAGCGTTTACCGGTGACCGCAACCTATTGTTCTATAATTGTGTCTATAATGACGGTACTCGACGAGTTAATTAACCATAACTATACGCAAACCAATAATAAAACACTGATCTTTGCTAAATAGATTAAATAACTGAGTTTAATTTCTTCAATTTACTTGAACTAGAACTATTTAAGCCTTCAAATGGAAAGTGTGAAAATATTGCCCTATTTAGTTTCTCAATTGACTACTGCAATTACATCCCTAGAAATTAATACACTTACCAGAGTGCTATAACTACCGACGGCCTATTTAGTTGAGATAACAACAAACATACCTCAGATTGCCCTGTAAACCGAACCAACATACTAACTACATATACCACTAGATAGTTTGCAAACCAAAGACAGTTGACAAACATGCAGCATTATACATGTAGTGGCAACCTGCTTGGCCCGCTTGGCACAGTTTCTTGAAGTAGGGCGTTATTCAATGAACGTTCCATTAACTATATTTGAAACATAAACATGTCGCTATTATGAGAGCTTGTGGCTGGCAACCACTCTCAAGTTTAAGCTGCGCTTGTGGGCAGTCAGATTTTATCGTACTTTTTACTGTACGGGTAATGTAATTTATTTTGCTTACAAACTTTGCTGTATATTAACAGAGTAATGGAAAAGTGCATTTAAAATTACTTTTAGCTTTTCCGCATAGTTTCATGATAACCACGCAACTAATGATAGAGGTTTAATAAGGATATTACAAGTTGGTGGTTAAATCAACAATCAACTGACGTCATTAGACGTGTAATGATTAATAGTCGTTCAGCAATTTCTGATCAAAACTCATCGACGATTAGTTGAAACAACTGTTGGAATACTTATATCGCTTTGAGTTTCAAGGTTAATGTTGAAAGTAACTAAAACATAATAGGCATTCCTACACAAAGTATGAGAAGGACCTACCTTCATACATATAATGGCGTACGGCGGTATCTTCGCCAATACGTCTGATTATTGCAATATCCCTAAGGGTCCGACCGTTTGAAGCGATCTTTGAAAAGACCCTTTTTCAATATCTAATGGATACCTATTTTTAAAACCGCTATAAAAGAGTTGAGTCCTTAATAACGACATCTTTAGTGTATTACTTCTTCACTCCAGTGATTTACAGTAACGAAATCTTTTTAAAGAATAAGTACAATAATGTTTCATATTATTAGGGTAACTAAAGTCTATAATCACAGACAATACGGACAATTTCAACTATTATCGTGACGTCACAGGAGAATTTAACAATAAATAATGAATTACTTCCTGTTTCAATAATAGGTATTGATGTGGGTATTCGTATACGAATTACGTACAGTTAAAATTCAAAGAATTTATATTTTGCAAATATGTATTTTGACTAAGCAATTCTCCAATTACGCTATAGGTTATCTCATAATATACAAACATGTCATCAGTCGTGGCTTACAAAAGCGAAGTAATTTCCATAATATATAAGTAGGGTAAGGCGGGTGTCAGCAGCGTGTTATCGGGATTAGAAGACACGTCAATCTGGTCACAATAATGAACAGTTCGTTAGTGATATCACAGCGGGTGGCAGGTTGCCGCGCCACTGATTCATCTACATTACAAAAGGAAACTTCCAGGCGGACGCCAAACAAAGCGAACTCTGTAATACACAAACACCAACTTTCCCCTCTCTTATGTACATTATATTGTACTATGTGTCGTAAATCCTTATTGGAGTAATTTGCAACAATAACTCGGTCCCCAACCTTTATTAGTTACATGGACTTCGGTACATAGACTAATTGTTTGAACATATACGTTTATTTTGTTATACAGTTTCTACTTCCGAGAATAGATTTTAAAATATACCTAACATCATATTAAATTATTCCTCTCATAAATTACTCAGTTTTCAACTCCACGCGTATCAGCAAGATTGAAAAGCTAAAAATATAATAAAGTTAAGAATCTCAAGGGAATTCCTCGTAACCATATCGACTGGAAACTTTCACACCGCGGGTTAATTAAGCTATAACTCATATTGTTTAAAATTTGTGAAATAATACGGCTGAAAATAAGTTGTAACATTATAAAGAGCGATGTTAGCTGAACGGGTACAAGAGCGTCGAAAGTGAAACGTTTCATAAATCACCTGCGTTGGACCCTTGTCAGGCTGCGTGGCCAGCGCCAGTAAATAACAGAATCGCCGCATGCCGCTGACGAGGCATTATGTAGCCCTGCGTAGCCGCCTACAAACCTTCGTAGCTCGTAGCCCGCGGACCGTAACCCGTAGCGGCCGTAGCCCGTAGCGCCACCCCAAGTCCCATGCCTCAAGTTCGCGTACCCGACACCATTTTGTTAATTAAAACACAAACATGATGATACATCTTAATATAACATTTCTTAGATAAGGATTTATTACCAAGGACATTTGTTTTGTTGAACTCTTTTCACCTTTAATTTTAGTACCTACTTATTTATTAGCGCCTAAACCTAGCATGTCTATATGCTACAGTAAAATGACAACTACATATTAATAATTATTTTTTGAAGTCAGTTGAAAATACCATGAATGTACTGTGGTGAATACAGACCATTGAAAGTGTAACAAGTCCTACACAACGATGTCGATCAAAGTAACACGGCAACAACTGTACAACTTAGTTTGTAACGTTTTGTGTAACAACTCCACAAGAGCACAAACAACTTTAGTGACGTCACCAACTCACCAAGCTACACTGAAAGTGCTGTTACCAGAAACTCGAGACTCCTAACTATAACACAGCAACTTCATAAACCGAAGGCAAGTTTCGTTACTTCAACATTGTTCCTCCCCCAATTTTCTCCAATGTTACTAAAATATGGTGTAAAATATTACGCCAATTATTCAATATCAACAAAACTGAACAGCTACCAAGTTTTGATTAATTGCTGGGAGAAACACCTTGCAATGTTTTAACAAAAGAATTTAATTAAGATTGTAATTTACTGTGCCGTTATATTAAATGTGAAGAGTAAGTACAAGTCACGATATTTGTGAGTTTACTACACTATAAACACGCTGGTCTATAGGCACTAGGATTACTGACGACTACTTGGCAAACTGTTAATGGATTACTGTAACTATTTTAATAGAACACTTGTGGTTGATGTTACACAGAGATTCGTATCGAATCTCCGACTAAAGGATTTACAAGATACTAAACGGTTTGCTTTATAATAGATACATACTTCATTGATTAGTATTATGCTGGCGTAACTCGAAACTCTGCGTAGTAGATGTGGTATAATAAACGTAAAACTATCTACGTTGTCTTCACACGAAACGAAAACTATTATTCTGCGTTCACTTTATTTATTTTACACACACCATATTTCACCAAAATTAACACAAACTCCCTTTGTTTCAGTTCCGCTACATGATGAAGCTTGTGTCAGTATCTGTGGCTTGCGGGCCGCGCTGTTTGAGCGGGAACCTGCCGCTGCCAACCTTCAAACACTACGTATACTTCATGTTCGCGCCAACTCTCCTTTACAGAGATCAATATCCCAGGTAGATTAACTGCACGTTACTTGCAGAAACGCTCCACGTCTCACTAATATCCTGAGTTAGGCAAAGGCGAGGTGTTAACCTGAATCCAATTATAGCTATTGAAGCTTACACTTGCTTATAGAGCAAGGAAGCGATTCAGGTTGTTCTGTGGTTAATAAAACAATAAAGAGTAGACCTTCAATTAGAAAAATAAGAAACAAAATAATTAAGTACCTAATTCAATTAAACCTGTGACTAAACATACAAGAAGACAAAAATATTTAGTTACATCATATAGATGTCTGAGTATGTCTTCAGTTAGCGCTAAAATTGGTACCTATTGCAGTATTTTGGCTATCGATTAAGTTGTAGGTATTCTTAATGAATCTATTTTAGTACGTACAAACTTGGTATAATTGCAATCTATTCAAGCGTCATAAAGCAAATAATTCCTAATTCGTATTGAACTAACTCTAGACAACAAACTAACTCAAATATCGGCGGGCTAATATGTATCGCATTCAGAATACGTGATGATGCCTAATTAAAGCCGCAAATCCACAACACTTTGAAGTAATATGTGTTAATATTGGAGCGAGGCTGTCACGATACCTGTCCTATACAGTCGTGAGATGGTAATTCCACATAGTTCAGTCGGCGGCGGTATTTGATTTGGTATTTGCGGCTGTAAATCGCTCGATCGTCGCTTCCCCGCTTGTATTCATACCTAGTTGTCATTACCGTCGCATCCCTGCTTTCACGATGAAATTCATACCCTGCTGTCATTAAGCTTGTGAAGCGAACCGTTGTGTTCACTTTATTTACAAATATCAACCAACGTGTGTGTAAGGTGAAATATTATTCTCTAGCGTGTTAATGAATCATTATATCTATCAGAAGAGTGTTTATTAAACCTCAAAACATAAATAGACTTTTACATGCATGTAATTTTGCACGAATATGTAATCTATGACGTGTAAGAAAATGTAACACGCAAGAAACTCGATTACGATAATATTAGAGACATGTGGTCGTAGAACTATAAAGTATAGGCTTTTGGTTTCGAACCCGGTTACGACAGAATTCTGTAATAGGAATGATGACAGCGTATGAAAATTATAAAACTAATTAGTCCATCAGTTAGGTAATGAAAAAATATCTATTAAACACGTATTTTTTTTTATTTTGTCGGATAAGAAAACAATACTTAGATAAAACGAAACAAAGTTTAGGAGTGGGAGGTAGCTACGTCATTTTAGAGTATAAATCGTACTCAAAAGTGACGTCATGCGATATTTCAAATCAATATATCTTCGAAACTATTTGATTACGTGAGAAATTAAAAAATACGTGTCTAATGTTTTTAAATAATCTACCAGACGGACATTAAAATAAAAATTAGTCATCTACCCTATTGGGCCAGATATTGTGCCGTGAAATTTGATGAATAACAGACATTATAATAATGTAATCAACTGATCAAATATTGTTGTCAATAAAAACAGAACGAAGAGGATAAGATGGGGCGTGGTGGTATTCCATTTCCTGGAAGTTGCCGCCATTATATTCTACAATTGTTTTCTCTGGGAGAGATTCATCATGCCCTACTGGTCTGACTACGGGAAGGAAAGGACGGTGAGTTAATCCCTCTTTTAATTACACTTTGCTTTTTATGGGATGGTGCACGATAATTTATACTTCGTGTTACCGTTTTAATGGATTAAAAAGTCATTTGTTAAATATTATGGGAGGAAAATGCAAATATCTATCGATTCCTTAAGGAAGACGTTTTCAGTACAATACTGTTACATTCGGGTGGGAGATGACAAGAAAAAAAGATTGCTTTAAATAGTGATACTACTTCTTCACTTCATTCTCAATAAAATATTTAGATTTAGAAGTCGTACCGATGATTATATTTCATACTTACGTACTCTATTTTGCGTTGTAGGTGGAAGCCGGCACGCTAGTCCGGGGTATGTTTGCGTGTGTGCTGCCGGGAGTGATATCCTTCCTATGTGGGTTCTACTGTGTGCTGCACGCCTGGCTCAACGCCTGGTCCGAGATGCTCAAGTTTGGAGACCGGCTATTCTATGAGGTAGGTCGAGGTACCTTCTCAGTACCTACTCTTGAAGATTTTATGAGATAGGTGTCTGTGGCAACATTTATGAAAGTAGCTTCATGCACCATAGTATCAATAGATATTGTTTAAGAACAAGTGATAAATACCAGTTTAAGTAGATATATTTGTAATAGATACATGCAGTGAAGTGGCTAGATTGAAAAAAGCTATTGTACGTTGAGTATGCTCATCTCGTCGAATATCCATAATGGTTCTTTGTTAAGTATAAAAATATTTACGTTATTTACCCATTATGCGTACCCACACACATTATAGTACTCTATTTTAGTCCAAAGTATACCAAGTAAATGTTAATAGCGGGACCATAACGTCACTAGGTAATAGCTAGGTAACCTGAGGAGTAGCATGATATGAAGTGAGTGCCCCTAAGTACCTTCCCAACAGACCGCTGGCACTCAAGCTTGTCAAGTACTGTACGTAGACGTACCTAATGTAAATAGAGACGTTAAGTAATAAACAGTGTTACTCCACCAAAAGAGGTAAAAGTGCAACATGTTTTTGTGTCTTCATTTGTTTTCCTTATTTTAACATGGCCATTACGTAAACCTGTGTTTATAAACCTAAAATAGGCATTCGTAACATAAAACAGGAAAGTTTACTGAGATCCATTTAGGCACTTAAAATTTATTTTGTTGGAAAAGTAGCCTTGAGTATCTACGTCATGTTATCATCGTACATTAACGTTGGCTTATATTAATTGAAAGGTGCAATGTTTTAGCATCCTTGATTCGAACAAAATACAAAATCAGTATCACATTTCGAAGATACGCTTCAGTTTCAGTACCAAACATTCCTACGCTCATTAGACCGTCCAATGTTTTCGAATGCCAGAATTCTCAATAATAGCATAATGTTTGGAATTGTGCTCGTTGTTTAGCTGTGCTCGCTTCCTACTGTAGCAGCACTAATCAGATAACTGGTGAAACTGTATGAAGGTAGATGTTGTTTAAGAACCTAAAACAGTTCAATGTTTGTTTTCATTCACTGAACGTATGATTGATCAATGAAAAACTCTTTACAATGTTGTGTTTGGTGTCTTTATATGATACCGAAACCAAGGATTAAGACTACAAAACTTTTAAAATAAATTTGTTTTATGCTCTGCTAGGCTTAGGAAATTTTAATTGAGACCTTAACCAACCAATGTAGCCTATATATTCTTGTGAATTTATTTGCAGGACTGGTGGACGACTTCCCAATTTTCCCTATACTATCGTCGCTGGAACCGAGTCGTACACTCCTGGCTGCGAGACCACATCTACATTCCCCTGGCGCCACATGCAGGACGTCCTCTGGCCACATATCTCGTCTTCTTGGTAAGAAGTGACAACAATATCTGTAAAACCGACCATCGTTCCAAAATGCGCTTAATTAAGTAGGAAACCAGTTCCATTATTAATCGTAGGTACGTAAAGTGTTTTGCGCTTTTGGATGGATAGTGCAGCATAGATGTGTAGGTAAGTATACATATATAGGTACTAACAGTCACCATTTGCGAAGAACATCGTTTATCAAACTAATTGATATAAGATCTTGATCCGGTGCTAGTAATTCATCTCTAATTGAATGCTGACCTACATGAACCGTTAATTATACATTAACGAGGTCAACAGCCGAGCACACTCCACCTACTTAGACAATTGACAATAACTATTGTTGACTGCACTGGAAACAGAAACTGCACAACAATAAACTAGGTGCAAATTGTAATAACTGATTGACATTTTGATAAAAGTAAATTCCGAATCTTCAGACTATAGAAATACGGTACCTAATCAGTTTTAATAACAAAAGATGAGGCATTAGACAAAATGCTTTTTAATGCTTTTTCTTTAGCGGTCAAATGATAAACAAAGATCCTGTGATTCACGTCAGGGGCAAAGGGCCGTGCATGTGACAAGATAAGAGGCTCCCCGCTGGAAGACCGGTGCTGTCTTCCCATTATATCTGGCTCTCGTGAACAATGACCGGAGATATGACTATGATTACACTCGCGTAAACATTATTATCTTACAAATTAAAAAGGAATTTTCGATGAAGCCGCCTTAGTGAAACCTATAAGTACCTACTTAGTGAAACCTATTTTACCTTTCAATATCGGTACTGATGCGGAAATCTAAGGCTTAATTACGTCGAACACCGAATATGACAACTCAAATGACCATTTTTTAAAAAGACCCCATGCAGCTTCAATATCATGCAACTCACACTAAATGTTGTAGGTACATTACGTTGGTAATTGTTTTATAACTACTTATACGTTAATCGGGTTCTCTTCTTATGATTACAGGTTTCAGCAATAGCCCACGAGGTGATCCTGGCGTTGTCTTTTGGCTTCTTTTACCCAGTTCTTCTGGTGGAATTTGGTTTAATTGGTGTCGTGATGGTGCCGCTCACAGCGAAAAGTGGCCAGCTCTTCCCTAACGTATTCAATTTGATCATGTGGCTGGGTTTCTTCATAGGAAACGGTAATTATGATAATAACTGCGTAATTAGAAACTAGTAATTATTGTAATGACGTCAAACACCCGGCGGACACCCGAAACACCAGAGACGTTACAAGTTGGGGATTAGGAGTTTGAAGATCGTTGGGGATTCAGGGATTGAGGAGATTGGGGAAGGGGAGGGTAATTGGGCCTCCGGTAACCTCACTCACACGACGAAACAGAACGGAAGCGTTGCTTCACGTCGGTTTTCTATGAGGCCGTGGTATCACTCCGGTCAGGCCGTCCCAATTCGTGTCGAAGCATGGCTCTCCCACACTGAGATGAATAGCTACCAAATATTTACCGAACTGAACTGCCAATCAAAGAAACGCAAGTACTTATAAACTTGAGAAGTTTACGTACCAAACAACCTGTCTACCATTATTTCACTTTACAAATCTGTTCAAATAAGATAACTGGAAACTGGCGTTTAATTTCCGTAATCGGTTTATTTTGTTCGTAAACAGAAAATGAAACTTGAATTTAAATTTAATACTTATTATTAGGTGTTGTTTACGAATAATAAATCTGTGTAATTGGAAAGCTGAAATAGATTCACTCCCTATTACACAGAGGATAAGTCTTACAATATTATACCTAGGTAGCTATGTATCTACTGGGAAAAAAATTGTCACATTAAATATTTTTAATTATTTTATGAGCAATTATGCACTTTTACAAAGATCCGAGCTCAGTGACTTGTTGTCGGAAAGGCCTAAGTGTGCGCAATAGTGGGTTACTAGTTGCGCTACGAGTCGCGGGCTCGATTCCCACATGCAATATTTTTTGTTTGTGACCCACAAATTGTTGTTCGGGCTCCAGATATAGGGAAATAAGAGATGCGATGTTCAGTAGACATATCTACTACAAATGTAAATGTTGTATCTATGTTTCGTAAGTCAAAACGTAATTTGAATAAATACTTACATTTTCTGTTCTAGGAATTCTGTGGAGTTTATACCCGATGGAATACTTCGCCCGGCGGAATTGTCCGGTATTGGAAACCGACAGCTACTTCATTCCAAAGTCATGGTCCTGCCCAGAAGTCATTCTGAAACCTAACTGGACATTCCAGAATCCTTTACGGATATTTACAAAATAGGCTACAATATACAAAGAACTACCTAGTGAATTTATTTTTATACTTTTATAAAAAAACATTTTATTAATTTTGTTTTTCTTTTATTAATATTTATTGAAGTCTCAACAAACTTACAATAACAAAATAAATGACGGGTTTCAGAAAAATATAAATTAAACAAAATTGTTTTTGAAATCATTTATTGAATATAAAAAATATTAAATTTAAAATATCTACTTATAATAAAATTTGACATATCGTACTAAAGTAAATAATTGTGTTAAGATTATCAGAAAAATTTGTTTGTAACTAGAATATTAATTATTGTTTTTTTTTTGTTTGAATGTACAGAAACAAATTAACCTATGGTATGGATAATAAAATAAATTCTATGGCCGCATTTTAACTAAAATAACATTAAACCAAAATATCTTAATCTCATGAATTTAATTCTACACTTGCTAACATCGAGTATATTTTATTGTTTACAACTAAATACGTTTATATATTATGAAAACGAGTGTAGTCGGGCAAAACAGGAATGTAGCCAGTTACCTATTGAAGTTAAATCGTAATATATATCATCACATTAAAGGAGGGAATCTAAAATAGTATTCAATTGACCTAAATAAAAGATTTGATATTTGTATAAATATTGTATAGCTATAGGAAAAATATTACGAACATTTACCTTCAGCTACTGCCCACTGTATACCTACCATATTTCCATAGAGAAGCACCGTGTTAGCAGCGACACACGGCACGCCAGTCTGTTAGTTACACTTCTATCCGACCACATCAGCATTACTTCACAGCCCTTACTGACTAATACAAGCACTACAAATAACGATATTACACTTAACATAACATATATCTAATCAATTGATGGAACACTTACATTACGAAATCATACAAAATTATTGCAACTACATATTCAAAACTGTGCCAATTGTGTACTTTAGTCAAATACCTAAAAGAACTAATAATTATGTGAGACACGTAAAGCTAAACACTTTAGATCCAAAGGTAACAATGATAATCGACAAAGTCCTAAATGTGCAGCGTCAGACTTTAAGTAACAATTATGTTAATGTTTGTATATTTTGTTTAAAAATTTTCTACTAAATGCACGGCAGTTGGGGACTTTGCGTTTATGTATTAACAATTCGATAGATCATTTTTTAAACAGCGGGAGTGCGATCCAATTCCTTGAATAACGACGACGACATTCTGCAAGAGATAAAATAAACAAATATTAGTACACAAACAAACAATTACTACATCATTTATCTGTGTATGTGCAAGCAGTTGACATTTACACACTACATTATTACTTATTATGTTTGTGTGTGTAATAAAAAGGTCTTATGTTTTAAAAAGGTCAAGTGTTAGTAAAAGTAAAAAATTTGCAACAGTGCAGTCTGAGATTGTACTCAGTTATTAATTGACCACATATTGTGATTATAGAAATAAACAACTACAACACAGCTAGCAAAAAGGAGGTATGTAACTGTATATTAACACAAGTACATCTCTGCATACCTTCACGTAACAACAGAAATGATGACGAGTTCAGTAAAATAAAGTACAAGTACTATTAAATTACACTGCCATATACAGAACATTGTAACATAACAAATAAATAACTCACTTGCTTATCATGTGCTGATATATGTAGCAGGGTATGATTGTGATGTTTACCACTGACGGGCTGGCTTCAATCACTCTAGATATTTCCTTATCTTTCATACCCACTACATTTACAGTGTTGATCTCCAGTAACTGGTGATCAGTCAACAAGCCATTGCGGGCAGCAGATGAATCCTTCACAAGCCCAACTATCCTGCCATCTTTGAACTGGAAGCCAACATGGCCAAGAGAATCCTTGTGAAGAGTTATTGTCCTCTCAAATGGTCTGAAAATTACAAATCGATATTTAAATTGTCCACTAAAATAACAAATTATGACCAGAATAAAAATATTTTTTTAAAAACATGTGGGTAATTAGCTATCAGACATACCTATCACGAACAGCCATAGAGATTCCATTAGCAGGAGACTTCTTCAGTATTGCGTGACATTGGTCCATTGTCATTCCAGCTAGTGCTATGTTGTTAATCTCCAATATTTGGTCTCCAAATCTGAGTCCAGCCATTGCAGCGGGACTGTTGGCAGCAACATAGCACACAAATATCCCATTGTTGACTGAGTGCAGCCTCAAACCACACTTTCCATCTTTGTCTTTACACAATACAACTGGTCTTATAGCTCCGGTAACCGTAGCCTTAGCTAAAGTTGTTGATTGAGACGACAAAGGTGCTATCAGGTTACTCACAGTTCCGCGTGGCTGAACCTGTTGATGTTGAAAAAGTTTATAAACAGGTATTCTCTCAGTCATTGCACAACAAAATGGCTATTTCAAGTTTTTATTTTATTGTAGTGAAATACATAGCTAAAAAAAATAATAGAATAGGTATGTTGGTTAATGAGAGTCCTGTTGTGTCTACATAATTAATGACCTACTAGAAAAGATTGGTGAGTATTCTTAGGAAAGTTGCGAAATGTTTTTTACACTGGAAACACAATCATCACACTTTTACCAAAAATCTAATCAGAACTTACTGTTTGGACTTGATATTCAGGCATATTCAAAGCAATAACATCACTAGACAATTCGAGGCCCATATAGTCTCCCAGCGCCGGGTAAACATGAGCTGAAGGAGCGCTGGGCACAGGGGCGGATGGTGGCAGGCTGTACGAAGGCGGTGCTGCATGGTGCTGGGCCATTTGAGCCCTCGCCATGCTATCCACCTTCATATCTTCCAAAGACGGATACAAAGACATGCTGAATATCTAAAATAACACTTAAAAATCCCCAAAACTCGGGACGTTAAATCGACGTCTGCGACTATAACACTAACACTGTATGACTAATTGGAAACACAATGAATCATAACAAAAACCCAATTCAAAAGTCCCAATGAAATTGATAATGGTAGATGAATGAAATAGGATTAGAGATGTGTCATACTCATAGAATTTTTGACGTATGCCCAATAAGTGAAAAACATTTCGTATTACTAATCGAGATTACAATTTGTTGATTTTTGTACTGGAATAAAATTTCACGATGTTATGATGCTCGCAATTTACAATTTTAATAATGATTTATTTAATTTTCATAGTGAAACACTTTTCTTTGTTAAATAATTAATAATTTCTGACAATAGTATTTATTTATTAGAATCCAGATATCCATTATTAATATTATTTATTTTATTATAACATAAATGCGTTACTTATAATAATACTTCTAGACTAAACTGAGAATTATTTACGGTTAATTTTATTCGATTAAGAAGTCCTTCCTTCACTATTTAATGACAGCTGTCACTTTAGTCAATTTATATACGTCAGTAATGTCAGTGTCACTCAAAAATATGTCAAATCGTGAAACATCTATGATGGTGTGTTATATACTGTACTAATAAAATGATTATTCACTAATAGTATTAAATGTAAATAAGATTTAAATGAAATAATTTACATATAAATTACATCCTTAAAGTTTTTAGATTATGGAAGCAGCAGCTACTAAGCGAACACAGAGGTAAAGCTACAAATTAGTGTCCTTGCCAAATGAAAACATTGTTTACATCTTGATGATTATGAATTTATTAATTAATTCTCTGGACCACTTGACTTTAATTAATCATTATCTACTATTTCAGTCGATGTCGGGAATGGGAACGAGCTAGACGTAACAAATTCAACGACGCAATAAATAAACTTGGAGAAATTGTCAAAGCTATACAGAAAAGCAATAACCCAGAGGATTGTGAAGATGTACAGTATCCGAAAGTTGAAATAATTCAGAAGGCCATAATATACTTAAATAATTTTGTCCAGGAGAAAACACAATGGAGTAAGTTTTGTTATTTAAGTAAATAACTGTCAAATTCGATATCCAAGTGTCGTTTTTGTTAATAAGATAATATTCCAGTATTGCAGACTTAAAATACTTACGGCTTATAGCTCCGATAATAATTAAAATACTTTGTACTCCATAACTGTGTAGGAAACTTAAAGCACCATAGTGCTCTTAACTGTTCAATACCCAAGTGATCACAGATGATCACTCTCCACTAACTCCATTTTAGACCTTATTGCCGATGTTTAGATACTACTTTTGTATGAACTTGGGTATAATATATCACCATATTAAGACTATGAGCATATTAACTCAAAGATTTCACATAGTGGTTTCTCTTTGCAGCCAAGTCTTTAATAACTAAGTAATTAGAGCAATGACTATTTGGAACTAATTTCAATATAATTTTCAATTACAGAAGCAGAAATATTAGCCTTACAAGTAGAGCTTGATACTGAAAAGAGTAAGAAATCAAAGACAAAAGATGCATCGACTCAAGTTTGCATCAACTTAATAAAAAAACGTAAAGGTGAGATATCATTTCATTCAGTTTTAATGCTTTGAAGCATTAAAACCGATATATTATTTTTCTCTATGCAATAACACTAATAGATACCTGAAAATCCAATAACATTTGCCTATTAAGTTTAATTATTCCTTACAAAACACCACACAATTTTCCTTTTGTTTATAAATAACATCACAACTTTACCCAAATGTTAATTCCCAACCTTCCTGATGAACTTTTGGTTATCTTTCTTTCATATTCTTCCTATAGTTTCTCCTGGCCATAATGGACAAAAGAAAATATTGATTTGTTCTGCACCTGATGCAATACCAAAGAAAATTGGCATTTATGTTTAAACAAATTTGTAGTACAAACCTGTAGTAAACCTACAATGTTCAATAGAAAGACTTCATTTTAAATAAACAATTAAATTCATATTCAGTACTATTTAGTTACTTCTTATATAGTGAAAGATATCTTTTCTCCATTTCAGATAGCAAATATGTAAAGCTCTGCAGGTTGAAGAAATGTAAAAACAAACAAGAAAAACCACAAAATAAGATACCTCCTCCTGTAGAAACTGCAACAAAGTTACCAATACTCCTTCCTAGATCTAATAAAAAAGGTAAGTTAGGTATGTTTAGTCACC